TGTTTGTCAATGCAGTTGATGAAAGTGCATGTTACCAATTACCAGTATCATTTAAATATCAGCCTTTTACCCGTGGCCTGACTGCACTACTGCTATCAGGTGAGCTCATGATGGAGCCTGCCAGCATTGCGCTGTCATTCTTTAATTTCCTGCCTGCTGTCATTCACCAGCTGAGGCCTCTTTCTCATGACCTGTAGTAACCCCAGTCACTTGATGTCTCCCTGCTCACCTATTTCCCATTAGCTCCTTAGTATATTTTCCTGTCCACTTGTCTGTCCTCCCAGCTGCAGCTTCCAGTCTCACTCACCTGACCACACAGTTTTAGCATCACAGCTGTGAAGAGAAACCACCCACTAGTTAGGTCGACTCAGTTTGTCAGTTTCGCCTGTTGTGGTCAGTTACTGCACTGAACTGCTGAGCTCTGCAGCCTTGAATCAACCACAAGAACCAGGACACAGCTGCAGTGATGAGTTCTACATCTGAGCTGCTGCTCAGTTAATCTGCGAGAACTGGGTGAGGAGTCACAGTGGTACTGGGAAGAGAAGCATTGAGGTCAGGTCTCATGTGTCCATTCATCCACCAGTTAGGGAAACCCTTAGTTTGTGCTGAAAACTGATTGAAGCATCAGTGTATTAATGTGGTTGGTCAAAGTGGGGACATTTAACCTTTACATTCTGGTGTGCAGTCAGTACAGAAAATGGCTGACTTAAGCTGATCATGTATTCTGTGCACATAATAGTAGCATTAGTTCTGAAATGCCATGGAGTAGATGTATATAGTAACCTAGAGCCCCACTACTCAAATGTTTAATTATAGTAAAAGTGTTGAACATGAGGAGTTAATATCACACAGGACAAATTCACCAGTGAGCAAGAAAGAAACACATTTCCAGATTTGGAAGGGGAATGTTGTGTGGGTGCTTAGTTTAGCACAAAGAATGGAAGCGCAGGGAAACTGTTGGCCTGAACACATGTCCATAATGTTCCTGTTCTTCCTCCACAGGAAATGTAGGGAGCCATGAAGAAGAGCTGACCACAGATTACGAGTTCCCCACAGTGACAGCAACACCAGACTACGACTACAACGCCACCTTTGACTACTACTTCGGTAACTCCGGCACCGACAGCAGTATCAGTACTGACAACAGTATGTGTGGTAGTAACAGCAGTACTTGTGCTTCACTGTCTTGCAGTGACCGGGTCTTACGAAGGCAAGAGCAAGGTGAGTGTCCTGTTGATTTGAACGTAACTGGTTGCTGGGACTGTGTCAGTGCTTTGCTCAGAGCCTGTCTGTAAAGCTGCCACTCTATTTTTAACAAATCTATGAATTCCACTTCATTTCCAAATAATCCCCTCAGAAATTTAGTGCAATGAGCCCGTCGGGTGTAAAATAATGTGCCACTGTTCATGTCTCAGTCCAGAGATGCCCGGGGGGGACAGGAAGTCCATCAGACTTATCACTCATGAAATAAAAGTCTATGATGTCAGCTGGAGAAAATTTGCGGCACTGATCCAAACTGTCGCATCTCGATAAAAAACTGTCTGAACACTGCTGTTCTGTTTTACTGAGATGTGTGTGTGACCTTAAATGCACTAGCAGACAGTAACATGCATGTTCATAAATATGACTGTTTTACACATGATGTAGTTTAAAACAGTAACCTGTTTGTTGTCCTGACCTCTACATGACCTCTGTCAGGCCTCAGGGATTGGTCAGTTAACCCCGCTGCTCCTCCTAGGATTGGCTGCTCATCAGGTCTGGAATTGACAGAGGGTGGAGTCGAGAAGCACCTGCAGACAGGTAAGTGCAGACAGTGTGCAAGTGATGATAAAGCCTGCTCAGGTTCTAATTCAAGGCCTTTGAAAAGACAAAACATGTCCTACGTATGGACAAAATGCCACACACTGACAAAGCAGCATTAGTGCTGAGTTCACATGGAACACCTGTGGTCCCGACTGGTATTTTGCTTGTCTGTGAGCTGCTCTCTGATAACTTGACTAAAACATTCAGTTTTATTCACCTTTTTCCCCCTTTGTCAGAGGTAACAAATACTGTTCTGGTGCCTGAATAGGCTCCCTGCTGCTTTGTGTGTGTGTGTGAGCACGTGGGACAGTTTAGGACTGAAGAGGAGTCCAGAAATCTGAGTTCTGGACCCCAGTTTGTGAAATGATGCTCAGAAACACTTCAGACCATCCTTGATAAACCTGTGGGAAACTCTGCAAAACAAATTCAAGTGAGTCAGTGAGAGGAGGATTTATAGATGGTGGGAAAATGAAGAATGTCAACTGTGTGTTGACAGCAGACACCTGGGTCTGTTCCCCAACCAGTAAACACATGCATCTGCACTGGTTATTGATGTTGTCACTGGTAATGAGGTGGTTTAAACACAATATGAGTGTTATTGTGCACAAACCTCATCCAGAGAACAGCAGCTCCAGTGAATGTGGTGTCCTCACTGTAACGTGAGTCCAGACCCTGGTTCAGCTTATCGCTCTGTGCCATAGACCTCCACAGCTATTAAACCTCCCCAGTGAGCCACACCGCTGCACTGGGGCACAGGAAACACAAGGCTTGAGCTGCACAGATAAGATGTGACAGGATGGCAGAGGCTCTGAGGATGAGCTTTTGCGCTCACACGGGCTACACTTCCTGTGCCCTGTAGCCTCCTGACTCGGTTCCCTCCTGCGTTGTGGACAATGATTTATCTTGATCCGACTCTTGGCTTTGTGTCAATTGACTGTACCAAATATGAACACTGACAGCTCCTGAAAGTGAAGCTACCGTGAGTCGATTGCCCTGTGGTGGCTGGTTGCAGTATAGGTCAGATCCTGCCTCCTCCATATTAGTGGATAGGACATGAGCCAAACTAAACTTTGATAGATATTATCATCCTGTGTGTACAGATGGTCATTTATCTGGTAAAGTTATTAGCAAGTTTGATTTTAAAAGAAGCATTTCAGGTGATTTGACAGATTTGATTGGTGTCTAATGCATCACTCAACTACCCAGTCGCTACTGCGCAGAATATGGTTGCTAAATGCTAAGATGGTTGCTGCTATTTTGGCTTCACTTTTGCATAGCGGAGGGATGTGACGATGAGTCGTCGGTCTCTATACAGTGAAGGTTTGTCTTATGAAAGTACAAAAAGAAAAAGGTTCAGTGTCTTTGCTCTCCAACATCAACTGTCCTCTAGAGAAAAATCCTCTAAGCGAAGGTCAGCTTTTCATTTGTCGAAACTGCAGCATGACCAGACTGTTTGTTTGAAATGTTATTTCAGAAAGCTCTCTCTCTCTCTCACTGCAGACATCTCCTCCTGATCAGCTGAAGATCAATCACTGATCACACACTCCATATGATTGAAAGCAGCTGATTGATTCCTGATCCATTTTCATCATCTGATGTTTGATATGTTTTTGTCCTGTAATAAATGATTTCACGTATGCTGCTTCGTGTGATGTTATTAACTGATCAATCAACTGATACAAACTGATCAGTAACTAGTTGCTCAGTGTCTCTGCTGCCACCTGCTGGACACTGATCAATAAAACACTAGAGATGGGACAGATCATTTAAACTCTACTGATTAGACAGTGCACATTACTAAACACTTGTATAAGAATGTTTGTGGAAGTATACTTTGGAATATTAGAGCCTTGTCTTTCTCTGGAATCTATAAATATCTACAGGTTGTGACAAATGAAACTCCTGAACAAGTGGAAATAAGAGGTAATTGATTCATCTGCTGATTGTTTATTTGCAGGCAGGAACCAGACGGGGAAGGTAGATTCTTCCAGTCCAAGTCCTCAGGGTTTAGGTGTCTTTGACGTTCTCTGTGACGAAGTGGGGCAATGTCTTCCACTCATTAACTTATCTTAAATAAGGAACAGATGGCAGAGTGGCAGCAACAAGCCTGCAGGCTGATCACATTTGAGCAGCAGAGCCCAGATTTCAGTCAGGACCACAAAGCTGGAGTCCAACAACTGTTGGACACCTGGTCCAGTTTCTCTGGGACAGAGCTGCTTCAAGTTCTCGCAGATAAAACGTATCCGAATGCACATCCTGCGATAATCTAGTGTATGCATCCACTTCCAGACATGGAAGTACTCAGACTCTTTACTGCAGTAAAACTACCAGTATCACAGCATAGAAATACTCTGCTAGAAGTCTTGCCTTCAAAATGTTACTGAAGTACAAAAGTAATATTAAATAATAGGTTACTTGAAGTACCACCAGTACCAGCAGTCACTATGTAGAACGGCCCATGTCACATTAATGTCTCTGATACTACTGGATCCTACTGACTGATACATTACTGTGTTCATCACTTTAATGCTGCAGCTGGTAAAGGTGGAGCTGATGTTAACTACCTTATATACTTATACTGTGAAGTACTTTACATCCTACTGGGTAGCTGGTGAATTTCCCACTGGGATCAACAGAGTCTGATGATTCTACTGTGTTTGGTTTGATTCATCTGATTCTGAAAAGGAACTGAAGTTATCAGATCCATGTAGTGCAGTAAAAAGTACCAGGTTTTTCTCTGACAGGTAGTGAAATACTTAGTGGTACCAGGTTTGTCTCTGACAGGTAGTGAAATACTTAGTACCAGCATCAAGATAAAGTACCAACGATAAAAGTACTCCTTCTGATATGATTGATATGATTATTATTTCTGATGTTTGTTAAGTAGAGCTGATTTTAATGATGAAGTGCCACTGGGTAGACTGTAACTGGTGGAGGTTTTATTTTAACCTCTAATAGTACTTAATAATTTGTATACGCATATATCCTGAATTATCTGAATCTGTAATGTAACTAAAACAGTCAGAGTCAGGTAAAGGTGAAAATGGAAAAAAAACCCTGGGTTTTGGCTGCATTGACCACTGCTGCACAGAGATGTTTACAGACTGTGAATTCAGAGATATAAAGGAGCACTGCCACCAGAAAAATACTCATACAACCTGTCTCCAAGGCTTCACTCTCAGAAAATGTGAAATGACTCGGCAGGTAACTTCCCATTTATTAAAATAGGTTTATAAACGTAGGAATACAATCTGATCGACTGAAAATATTCCAACACAGAGTGGTCAGTGAAGTATACACCTGATCAGAACAGTAACAACACAAAGCAACACAAACAAAGAAAAGAGCTAATCTCCAGTAAAACTAAACATGGTGACACTGTACTGGGATCACCTTCACTCAGTCTCTAAAGAAAACTGCTGCTTCAGTCAACAGCTGAACACTAAGATAAGAAAATTAACCAGTCTGAGTCCAGAACGCTTCAGAAACTGTTTCCCTGCCCCTCCAGTGTCTCAGTCCGAGTATAGCTGTGTCTCCCCAGCCATCGACATGTACTCGTCCAGCTCAGCATCCAAACGGCTCCTGGACATGGACATGTAGTCGTCTAGCTGTTTGTCCAGTCTGCTCTTGGTCAGGGACATGTACTCGTCCAGCTGTGCATCCAGCTGCATCTTGGTTGGTACCTTGTCTCTGCTCAGGTCACACTCCCTCGAGGCAGTGACCCTGCCCTTCGACAGGTGCAGACTCAAGTGTTGTCCTGCAGGAAGAAAATACTGTTAGACCATGAAGCTCCACACAGTGGTCACCATGATACTGCACTGACCCAGACACAAGAGAGTACTAATAATTTAATGAGGTGCTTTTCAAAGCAGCAGCTTCAGCTCTTCGTATGCCTGGGAAACCGATCTGCTCTCAGAGCCGCTGCCACAGTGAGAAGCTCATTCTGAAGCTCAGTTCAGTGTGAATGTGATGAGGGACTGACCTGCAGTCATTGTCAGGATGTTCGTGTTCCCCTGGAGTAGATGCTGTCCGAGTTGGCTCTGTAGGTTACGTCTGCCTGTAGAGGAAACACACAGGTACAGCTGAGGTCCTCTTCTAAACTAACACCTGAAGCATCAGCAGCACCAACATCATGGACTCACTCCTGTAGGTAGAAGTGAACCTGGGTCTCCATCTGTACTTGTTCATGAAGCTCCAGAAACCTCGAGGTCTGGAGGCAGAGCAGCAACAAGTCACCTGCCGCCAGCCAAGTCGAGTCCAGACACTCCTCCTCTTCCTCTTCCTGCACCTCCAGCCTGGGCCACCTGTTGCTCTCATCGGTCTGTGACTCACCTGCTTCTTCCTCACCAGCAGGACCGTTGGCGGGGTGCCGAACACCGTCCCCTGCTGCTGCAGGATGGGGTTTAAGTTCACCATTGTGGGCTGGGTCAGCTGGTCCACAAGAATCTGAGAGAAGCTGCTGACAGAAACAGAGCGTGATGACAGGGGTGAAAGCAACACGTGTTTGAGACATGGATAATATTACAATAAGACATACACTGTTCAGGGCAGCTAAGACACTTCCATATCCAATAAATTACAGGATTACAGCAAAACTGGACCAGATCCTACATTATCTGATTTAGCACACATCTGCTCACATGGCCAGGAATCAAAACAATTTTATTTATATAGAGCACTTTAAAAACTACATCCAGTTGACCAAAGCACTTTGCACAGGCAGAATAAAATCACAATAATTAACCAAAATGAGATAAGTGTGTCTCACCGCTCATTGAGGGAAACGGCTGAGGTGCTTCTCAGGTAAAGTGAGCATGGTTTCGATGAAGCCATCAGTTCCCTGATTCTCCGACTTCTCCTACAAAACGTGGATGGTTGGGAAAAAAACTCCTAAATAATTTTAAAAAAGACAGACACCCCTTTTATTACAAAGAGGGAAAACAGCAGGCTGTATGCTGAAGTTGATATCGGCACATAACACCACTTTTAAGACCAGACACACTTTGACATATACCCATCACAAGCGGATTCTACTTCAGGATGTAGCTAACTGGCTTAAAACGTTACTTCGCGCCACACACAATCCGCTGTACCGGGCGGTAACATTAACTTCGCTGCTAAAAGGTTGAAATGGGTTTTTACTTAAAACGTGCTGATTCCTGGTCCAAATCACAGCCGAATTTAAGAGGAGACCACAACTATTCACTAGTCTTGAACTTTAAGGTATAAAGTGATTTTAAATTGACAAGAAATTGTTAAATATTGAGTTTCACCTATTTGTAACGGGGATTATCAGTCATTCTCTGCACAAACCAGCACATTTGGAGCTAGCATTAACCTAAATGTTTTCGTGACTGGGAATGTACCAAACAACCTTTAGCTAAAGTTAGCTACGCTAGCATCACCTTGTGAGACAGCCGAGTGTCAAGTTGGATAAAAGCAGTCGCTTTAAACTCAGCTAACGCTAAAAGCTAATCGATTATCTCTCTATTAACAGTAACGTTAGCTAAGGTTCGCTAGGTGATACCGCGGTAAGTACTTTAAATCTTACAGTACGCCACCACAAGAAACTACACAAATGTAGCATTAACTAAAGCGAAATAAGATCATCCCCTGACAGGTAACGTTCTTTCTTAAATTATTTCACCTGTCGCTGTTTCGCCGGTTTGTTCAGTTCTCTCTTCAACCAAAGACAGGTCCGACTGAAACAGGCGAACTCCAAGAAAAAGATACTGAAAATGTTTTAGCTAACTAGCCAGCTAGCTAAAAAAAAAAAAGACTGGACAGTTGTGACATTATTTAATGTAGGCTAATCTCCAGGCTACATCACAACACTTAGAAAGCAATTCCTTAATAATAATGAGAAATTCTATTGCTAATTTACAAAAAGGAAGAAAGTCTGTTTTAAAACAATTTGACATGAACGTTTGTGATAAAGCTTAAAAATTAGGTCAAAAACTATTTGGTTTTTTATTTTTATATTTGATTTCATGGTATCTGAAGGTTTTTAATCTTAAAGGCATGGATTCCAGTTACATTTAAAAAGTCTTTAGAAGGTATTCAAACATTATATGGGCCTATATAATTTAAACGTCACATTTTTCTGTCCTGCTGTAGACAGTAACCTTACGTATAAAATGTTTTAAAGCAAAAACTGTATGGAAAAGCTCCAGTTGTTTCAGACCACTGCTATGTGGACTTCAACCAGGCTAGCTTTATTATTTTTCAGCTGGCTAATTCATCTATCTATTCATTCATCCATTTCTGCTGTTTATCCAGGTCCAGTTTGTATTTACAATTAACGATATTAGGACTTGACATTAATATGATATAAATGTGAAAAATAAATTGTGTAGCCTACTAAATTATTCTAGGGCTCATCTCTTTTAATTTGATGTGAGACCGGTAAGCTGTTAAATTTATTTCTTTGTGGTAGGCTGTTAAAGGGTCTTAACTTATGAACCCTTAGAAACACTGGTTTATTGATTAATTCATGTATTAGGCCTACAGCTAGGAACACGCGTTCGCTTCAGCATGAGATGACACTAAAGTCTACCCGATGACCTGTCAATCACCTAGTAACCAGGGGCAACCACACACCCAGAGCAGGGATTGGCTCTTACACTTTAACAGAAGTCACGCGCACAAACTTTCAGACTATGTTAAATAAATAACGGAAATGCATTCCGGTCGTAACCTTCAAAATAAAAGCTCAAATCACTGGTAAATAAAGCTTCGTGTGATGTGGGTTTTTTGGATGTCTTATTTATTTGAGTTTACCTTGGTTTATAAGATTCGCACTGCGTGCCACGATCTCCAGGGCGTTAGACTCCTTGTACTTTTAAACGCAGTGTTTTGGGGTTTTCCTTTCAGCTTGTGAAGGTACTCTTATTTTTCTAAAGTCCAGTCATCAGCCGACTTCCTGTTATGTCTGGCTGTCGAGGGAGCATGCATGACACAGCCCCTCCGCCCCCACCCCTTCTGATCTCTGTGCAGACAGTCTGGACCAGACGCACACATCGACTACAACCGGTCACGCCGTCACTGTCATCGGGTTACAGCCGAGCGGAGAGAGCTGAGTACCGGTGAGTGGAACTGAGACAGCCCGCTGACGCTTCTGTTTGTATGGAGGTCTTATAAGTGACAACTGTTGATGTAACCGCATCTGTCTGTCTGCCAGCCTGCCTGCGTGTCTGTCCATGTTCCTGTCTGCCTGTCCACCGCCTTTATGTCTGTTTGTCTGCCAACCTGCCTGTTTGTGTCCCTCTCTGCCAGTCTGCCAGTCTGTGTTTATCAGTGTTTCTGTCTCTCCATGTCTCTCTCTGCCTGTCCACCAACCTGTCAGTTCGTCACCTGGAGTTTGTTTATACTGATCACTGATCAAGCTGTAGATACCAGTAAGACCAGGATTTAATTTGTGCCGCCATATATCAGTAGCGCTGTATTCTGTAATATTTTCATGCAATCAAAAAGTATTTTCATGATCTGTTAATCAAGCAGTTATTGATCTTAGTATTATTGATCATCATTTTATTTTGAATTTTGTCAATAAAATGCCAGGAAACAGTGGTGCCATCTTCAGATACCTCGATTGTCTGATCTGCCCTCCAAAAACCAAATAGATTCAGTTTAATATAATACAAGATGAAAATCACCAATTATCTACATTTATGAATTTACAATTTTATTTTTGACATTTCTGTGTTAAAAAAGTTAAAAGTCTACAACCAAATGCCATTTTGGGCAAACTGTACAAACTGCAGCCTCCACTCTGAAGCTAGCGTTAGCTGGCTGACAGTAAGCGTGTCAGCCCAGTAGAACACTCTGATTACTGCTAATGTGATACAAAGCACTGACATTACACAAAGCTCCAGTTTCTCCCAAATTAAAATCATACAAATTCAACACAAAGGTAAAATCATGACCATGCTACTGTAGGTGACTGATGTTATCAAAACAGACACGTTAGCTTTAGATGCTAACACATCCAGAAGGAAGAACGCCACATATGAATCCAGTCTGAGTCCTTTGGCTACTTTTAACCCTCTCCATGTCAAACAGCCAAACCAATGTTAACCCTGGTTGTTGCTGTTTCTTTGTCCCACTCTCTCTGTGCAAAAGACGCCACCTCTTCACTCTGGCAGCGACTGGTTCAGACTTTTCACTGCCCAGAGCTCCTCCATGGCTGTTTGACATGACTACTGGTGGCTGGAAAAAACCTTCTTCTGTCCTTGGCTAGGTGGCAGGCAGGGCTAATTTACAGACTGTACTTTGATTATGCAGGGTGGAGAAGCTGGAATAACAACCGGAGCAGTGTAGGCAGCAGTAGCGTGTCATGGAGGGGGGGGTGTAGCTGAGAGACACCACGTCCTGTCCCACTGTCACTGGGTTATCAGACAGTGGGGGGGAAACTTAATTAATGCAACATTAAACACTTGAATAATTATCTGAATATCTGCTGATGATTCCTTTTTCAGTCAACTAATGAATTGATGTACTAATGTCTTTATCAAGGTAAGGATGTCGGTGCTCAGCCCAGCCCCAAGCAGCGCCGACGCCTGCCTCAGCATTGTCCACAGCCTCATGTGCCACCGGCAGGTCGGAGAGAATGAGGGCTTTGCCAAGCGGGCCATTGAGAGCCTAGTGAAGAAGCTGAAGGAGAAGGAGGACGAGCTCGACTCGCTCATCACCGCTGTCACCACCAATGGCGTCCACCCCAGCAAGTGCGTGACCATCCAGAGGACACTAGATGGGCGGCTGCAGGTCAGGAGCATATCCACCTTCAGTTTGTTAATTTAAAGGTGGCAGCTGGTGATTTTCTGTGTTTGTGTTATTTTCCACAAATTCCTATCAGAGACTAAAAGCAACAAAAACAAGAAGCAGCTCTAACAGCTTCTGTGCAGTGAGAAGGTAGTGGAGCATTGTCAGCAGAGCAGAGATCAGTGACTGTTCTTCCTTCAGACTCTGTACACAGTGACGCCGTTCTCGGTCTGTGGTGTTGTTTGTTGAAAACAGACAGGCCCCACGTGTTTCCTGAGGAACAAAAATTCATTTGAGAAGTGTGTGTGTGTGTGTGTGGGGGGGGGGGGGGGGGTGGGGGGGGGGGGTAAATGTACTGCAATAGTTTTTAAGGGGATAGGGGGTGTAGAGGCACAGGAGCAAGGGTGGTTGGGTGTGGGGGTGCTTCGTGTGTTTAATAGTTGTTGGATAACAATGGAGGTTTATGGCACAGACCGGTAAACTTAACCAGGGTCTGGACTCACATACATTATAATGAGGACACCACAGTCACTGATGTTGTTGGTCACTGGTCGAAGTTTGTGTAACATAACAGCAAACATACAAAATCAGTGGCTGCATCATAATGAAAACACTGGACACGATGGTGTGTTCACACTTCGTGCAGGTTACAGAGTAGCTGGAAGCTGCTCTGGTGTTTGGAGAAGTGACTTGGCTCTTTGTTATTCCAGTTTAGCTTAATTCAGCACATTTAATTTTTCATTCCCACAAGAAAGAAATTATTAAAAACCGCCTTTGCTCCTTTTATGTTTATGAAGGAATGAAATACAGAGACTTTTCATTCAGACTTTGAAAGAACATTTGTGAGTGTGTTCTACTGTGAACCTTCACTCTCAGATATCCATGATTTTTTTATGGACAGACAAAATAAAACATAGGGCTAACACATTAAAAGACAAGACACAACACATGCAACATAAAGCATAATCACATTCACATGTATTGATTTGGTAGATGTGTTACAGTTTCAATTGAAGAAAACTAAATCTAAATTTAAAATTAAGTTGACTAGTCAACACTTCATAGCTGGTTGACACAGTCACACGATCATTTGCTTCATGCATGTTTCTGTGATACCAGTCACAGATTCAGGGGGTTTCTTTGAGTTTTACAGCTTCTGAAATGTATTTTCCATGTCTGCAGTGATAATAAAGTGCTGCAGAGTAGCAGACTGGGTGTGGCTCACACTGTCGCACAGTAATTATCAGGCCAGAGGATGTAAACATGGATCATGCTTCAGTCTGCTCACAGTTTTCCTCGGGTCACATTCAGCCAGTTGCTACAGACCTCGGCATAGAATTAAACCAAACTAGCAGCCAGTAGAACCACCTGGAGAACCTTCAGAACCCTCTGAAGGACTGACTGAACTCTTCTCAGGCCACTAGCACCTAGTCAGCACCCACTACATCCACAGAAAGTCTTTGGAACTTTGCCATCTGTTCGAGAATTCCCCACATCCTTCCAACCCAAGAAGTAATTACTCACAAAGGTTCTCAAATACCCACAAAAGCCTCATCTCGTTGAGAACCCAATCAACAACTGACTGGACCTTGTTGGTATCTAATTAACCCACAGAGATGCAAAGAAATGCGTTTGTAGTAGTCTTAAAACCGCTAGCTTCTCCTCCAGTCAACCTTGAACCTTTTCAAGCCCTATAAGAAGTGGATCATCTCTCCTGTAAAACCACCTCAGGACACCCTGGAACCATATCAAGAACCCCCGAACACCACAAGGACCCTCTCAAGTACCCCTGAAAACTTTGTAAGAACATTTTGAACCTATCCAGAAAACTCAGGCCAGCACAGATGTTCATCTGTGACCCATGTACAGTGGCAGGAGAGAGTCAGCGACACCTTTGCAACAACCTGGTTTTCTGCAGTAAATTGTCATTAAATGATCTGATTTTCTTGGTTCCTGGAACTTCTTCAGAATCCTGCTGGTTCTTCTGAAGGATTCTTAAGGATGTGTTATACTTCCTCAGTTCACCCTGGAACCTCATCAACAACACAAAGACCCTGCAAGAACCCCCTTAAGTAGAAGCTCCATGAGCACCCTGCAGGTCTGCTTGTGGTTCCTAGAGTCTACAGAAGTAGAATGGGAGGCAGAGCCTTTAGCTATCAAGCTCCTCTCCTGTGGAACCAGCTCCCAGTCTCAGTTCAGGAGGCAGACACCCTCTCCACCTTTAAGATTAGAATTAAGACTTTCCTTTTTAATAAAGCTTTCCCTTTGATAAAGGTTGATATAATATTATTGTTCTATCAATTATTATATGGGATAGTGTTATAATACTGTATAGTGGTATGTAAATGCTGTGTTTGTGTTTATATATAAAACTATAAAATTATATATTGTAGTGTATATGTATGTTGTGGATACTGTATAGTACTGCATAATATTATAACCCCAGTAGGACAGTGAGGGAAGGTTGAAAGGTACTGTATGGTACTTGGAATGTTGTGATATGTCTTCTGATATTTCATGCCACCATAACGACCAGTGTGGCTGAACAGGGATAAGACCGACAGCCATCTTACTAATTGCAAGCAAACTGGGGGCCTGGATTGTCCTGATTGCCACTGAGTATATTTAATTGTACCAGTGGTTTCTAGTCAACGGGACAGCCTTCGCTTGTGCCCATGTAGTGGTGTTGATGAGTTTAGCAGAATTAATTTAAGGATGCTATTGACAGGTATTCTAGGTCAGGTTTGTTTTGTTTTGGTGTCCTCTCTCTCTCTCTCCTTGTACCTTTCTGCAGGTAGCCCTGGCTCGGGAGCTCTACGTTTCTGATGAGCAGACACTGGCCAAATCACCCTGCCCAGTGATTGTTTGTTGCGTCTTGTTGCTTTTCTTTTCTCTTCTCTCTCTCCCCTCTGTCCACTATGAAAAGTGCCCTGAGATGACTGTTGTAATTTGGTGCTTTACAAATAAACTGAATTTGAATAGAATCTCCCTGAGTCCTGCTGACACCTCCTCCTGTAAAGAAAACAAAACAAATAAAAAGATGCATTTAAAAACAAATAAGTTAGAGATGGCTATAGAGAAAAAGACCACTACTCAAAGGTCAGTCTAAACAGATGAGCTGCTTTTTAACAACAAGAGTCCAGGTCTGAAGTCCAACAGGCCTTTATTTTTGAGTCTGGAGTGAGGAACAAACCCTGGTCACAGGAGGGTAGAGACCCGCCTGCAGGAGCCTGACTGAACGTAATATCTGGACTTAAATTCTGAGTCTGACGGGGCCAGAGGAAAGACAGCAGGATTACATGAGTCCTTTTTGTAAATGATCCATGGATGGATTGTATAGACAAGATGTCACACAGCACCCTGAAGTCCCATGGGACCCCCTCCAGTACCCAATCAGAACTCCTAGTGGACCAGCAGATCCATCTGGTAACCCTGAAGAACCTCCAGACATGCAAACAGAAAAAAATTGATGTAACAGTATCATGTCAGACAGAGAGAGCAGAGACTGAAGGCTGAGTGTTTCCCCAGCCTGGAGGACGAGGAGGAGGAGGAGGGCAGGCTGGTTTGTTTTGTCTATAACACAGGAAGGGGGCCAGGTTACGTTAAGCCAGACGCTGTGTGTGTATGTGCATGTCCATCTATGGTTGTATAGACATATTTTAATTTAATACCATCGTTGTGAGGACATGTCTGGTCCTCACACCATCAAAAGGCTGTTGGAGGGTTCAAACCTGGTTTTAGGGTTCAGGTTAGAATCAGGTTTCGGTTATGGTTGGAGGCTAAGGGATGCATTGTGTCAGTGAGGGCCCTCACAGAAGTAGTAAGACGTGTGTGTGTGTGTGTGTGTGTGTGTGTGTGTGTGTGTGTGTGAGCAGACAGACAGTAGAGGAAGGGAATGTGCACACGTCTCAGTTCTTTGCTCAGATCTCACACCACAGTTTCTACACTGTAAAACGTCTGAAAGGTCAGGTCTTTAAAACAAGTGAAGCTGTCTGTGGAGAGACAAGTGGGCAGATGCAGCAGCAAGTGGGCCTTTGCTCTATTCCAGCTTTGGCTGTTATTTTGATTTCACATTTCTGTCAGGAAATGGGTCAGTTAATGTAGCAGGGGCCACTGATAAACACTGTTAAAGCTGCATGCACAGAAGCAAATGTGATGTTCAAAGGGTGTCTAGCAGAAGGGGCAGACCCCCTCCCCGTTTCATGTCTCAGATCGAGGCGAGAACATCCAAGCTTCATAAAAACAACAGGACAGAGGAACGCTGCAGCTGCAGATGAAGACCTTTGAAGCCAGCAAGAGGAGTGATGCTCTGACAGCTCTCACACTGTGATTCGAAGGCAAGCAGCAACCTCCCGGCTAAGAAATGAAGCCAGTGTGGAATTGCCAAAGCCTGTAGTTCCTTGAGCGGCCACTAGAGGCTGGCTCCAAAAGGGAGTCAGTCCCTATAGGCTCCCATGTTAAAATGCCCCCACTTTACAGCGGAAATAAATGTGTTTACAGCCTGGTACATAAAACGGTTTTGGTCTCTGTAGCTAATTTCCCCTTCTGTGACACCTGTACAGGGGGTGAATTTTTATATAACTCGCCTGTTTCAATTATATTGAGACTAAAGGTTAAGGATAACGAAGGACGTGACTGCTTTGTGTGACAGGTGGGTCCCACCACCAGTGGCTACCATCATTCTGCCCTTTCAGCCCGCCTCAGCTCTGCTCACACTCCGCCTCTTTGCCCATTATTGGATTAGTCGTAGCAAGCAGAGTGAGGCACTACCAATATGGCAACATCCAGACTTGAGCTTCAACACCACTCTCCAGTAAATCAGCGGGTGACATCACAGTGGCTTTGTCCATCTTTTATATACAGTCGGTGTTCCTGGCATGTCAGGCTGTACAGACTGTTCTACGTGTGCTAGAAGCACGACGGCCTGACCAGCCAGGCCCAGACCTTTATACCACGCTTTATACCATGCTTTGTAACCCAGAGCTGTATTTTATATTATGTTCCTATGCCATCCCTTAAGTACCTACAGTATGTGTTTATTTTCCTTTCCTCCCTGAGAGTATGTACCTGTTAGTCCCAGGTTTCTTTTTGCAAAGGGTTTGTTGTTGTCATGCTGTGTGAGTTCATTTATGGCGACAGCCAGATTCCTTGACTGAATGACACTGATTGTGAATCTAATAAGAGTCTGTTGATGTGATCAACTTGGCTCTTTCTTCTGATCTCTTTCATGGTGCTCACATTTTCTCTGGTTTTAGGAAAAGTCTAGAAGCAGAAAATTAAGCGGAGTGACTTGAGACGGATGTGTTTTGCAGTGTGTGTGTGTGTTTTGTCTGTAGAGTGTTATCCCTGCCCTTCACCTGTGCACACACAGATCACACACTGCAACATGCACTTTCTGAAGCAGCCATTCAGCCTGTTACTGGGCCCTGGTAACCTGTGAACACCTGTAAGAATCAGCCAGTGTCGCCCAGTGGGAGCTCTCTACGTAAACGTAGCATGTTTTTCTTGGTGGGACGTGGGTCTGTTAATCGCGGCTTTTCCTCCTTTGTGACTGTGCTTTGATACAGTCGTCCTCTCAGACAGTTATTCATAACAGTGTTTCCGTGGTAACCATGACTCACCTTGCTCTCACCTGTCTCTCTTTCTCTCCCTCTCTCTCTCACCTGTCTGTCTGTAGGTTGCAGGCAGGAAAGGATTCCCCCATGTGATCTACGCCCGTCTGTGGCGTTGGCCTGACCTGCATAAGAACGAGCTGAAACATGTCAAGTTCTGCCAGTTTGCCTTCGACCTGAAGTACGACAGTGTGTGTGTGAACCCCTATCACTATGAGAGGGTGTCGTCCCCCGCTACCACAGGTAAACACATGTAGGGTCCACCTGTTGCTGACTTGTCTGTCTGCCTACAGGTGGACTCTACAGTGATGTTGATATTTGCACACTGGTGATGTGATGTGCTGCTCTTGTAGAAGATGTGCGCACTTTCAGCTTTATGACTCTGTCATACAGCAGCCTTTTGTCTTGCTTGATGCTTTGAGATTCTTGTTTGCCATTGCCAGATGTTTTGGGCACGGCCACTGTAACACACTGTTTGTCTGACCTGAAAGTCTTTGTCTGAGATGAGGTCGTGAAGTTTCCCTCAGGGTGTCACAGGCAGCCTGTGGTGAAGACTCCTGGGTTCTGACAGACATGTTATGCAGGGAAATGGAGGTGGATTTGTCACAGCTGGATTAAAGAAACTTGTGATGGAAATGTGGTTTAAATACACTGGCGACAACTTGATGTCTGAGTGTGTGTTTGGGTTTCATCTGTCCTCTAACAACACAAACAGCCTGGTCCTGGTCTCGGCATGTTTAGTCTGACTCAGGCTGTGCCTCCTCTCACGCTACCTTCCTCCAGCTCCTCAGCCTCTGATAAAGGACGAGTTCATTCAGGACTGTCTGCAGATCGACCTGCCCTCGCGACCTGACACATACAGCCAGCCCCGCCCTGTCGGCATGTATCCCAGCATGCCTCTGTCTCCCCCAGGTCAGACTGTCGAATGCACTTTTCTTACGTTCATAATTCTGAATAATAATATGATGAAGATGTCGTGTCCCCTGCAGGCAACAGCACCATGACGGTGGCTGCCCTGTCAGCTGGTGGCAGCGGGGGTGTTGGGGGCGAGGGGCCAGGCTTCCTTCAGATTGCCCCACCTGACAACCATGGGGCTCAAGCATCCCCCCCT